GGAATATCGAATTACCTTGGAGTTAATTGGTGATGAGCATGGAGGAAAGAAAAGCTCCATGGCCTGTTTCATCTAGTGCGAATCTATAAAAGTTTCCCAAGAGAATGGAAGTGCAGAGTAAATGTTCCTATGTTTAAAAGGGGTAGGGTAACTGAGTTTTTCAATTATCATGGTATCACACTACCGTCAACTTCCAGAAAACTTTTCCCCTGTATTATTCCTGAAAGAATGAGGCTATAAATTGCTGCGAAACTTTGTCCAAAACAAACAGGCTTCCGGACCAGGTACTTCCGTGTGGGATCATTGAGAAATATCGACTATTTTTTCAGTTGCTTATATTTGCCAATTTACTTGACTTTAATGCTGCATTCGATTCTTTACACCGTCCGACGATGCGGTAAATCTTGAAGTACCATGGCATTCTTGAGCTCACTTCCATTTTTGAAGGGATCTATGCAGGGAACATGTCTGCTGTCAAAGTGTAGGGGAGTCATCTAAATTATTATTTCCCATTAACTGTGGAGTTCTTGGGTCAATCTCCTCTTCCCATTTTCCATCGCCAGCAAACACGACCCGGAAGTACGTGCACTTCCCAACCTGTTCCATTGCTTTTCCGTTTTTCTACAGGCGAAGGTGGCATCACAGGAACTTCGGCTGAAGGCACGTTCACACGCATTCCGGCCACGTTGCACTCGGCTGCGAACCTTTCTAGGGAGCACTGCAGATCAGTTTCAGACGATGCTAATAAAACAACGTCGTCTGGAACTGGCCACCATCTCATGCCCACATTTCTTACACCGATGCACTCACCTCCTTAGGTGGGCCTGACTGTTCTATCCATGTACAGCACAAGCATTAGAGGGGACAGGACGCAGCCTTGGGGGGACCAGTGCCAACGTCGAATGGTTTCGACGTAACGCCATTAACTCTGACACAGCACCTGCTATCAGAATACAGTGATTGGATAGCCCTTAGCAACTTGCCAGCAATTCCGTATGCACGCTCATTTCCACAGACTGTTGCGTGGGATCCGGTCATGGGTTTTTTCTAGGTTAACAAAGCACATGTATAACGGACGGGCGTACTCCCATGATTTCTCAGCAATCTGGTACAGGGCAAAAATATGGTCAGATATGCTTCAGCCTAATCTGAAGTCACACTGAAATTCTTGCATCTTAAAGTCGCCTGTTCCATGGCATCTCTTTCGTAATCGCTTGATGTACATTTCTTCCGATAGTTGGAACACCCATGTGACCTCAGTTATTGAACAGGGGTAATACAGCGACCGTTGCCCATTCCGTTCATATCGCAAAGTGGCCACTGCAATTTGGCAAACACGCGTAAGCCACAATTTGCCTCGTTCGTCTAAAGATATAGGCATTTCAGGGTGAATTTAATCGATTTCAGCAGTCTCACCACTTTCAAAACGGCGCTAGTGTTTCATTGTTGAAGTACTGATATTTGTTGGCTCTTCACACGAATCTTCCTGCAGTTGATTGAAGTACCTCATCATCCTTGATATTAGGGTGTTCGGACTGATACATAGGGATTCTTAGACTGCCGTTTCGTCTTTCTCGAAGACGGCGGTTAGTCTACCAGGATAGCTTGCTTGCCCCTGCAAATTCGACTCTAGCAGCTCTACCGTCTTTCCCAAAAATTAGCCTCAGTTGCTGCATTGCACGCTTTTCCGTACTCCGTTCTAGTTGAAGGCTCCTAACTTCCAAACCATCTCTTCAATGCAGCCTTCTTCTCAATGACCTCAAAGCGAACCTCTCGTGTCCACCAGGAAGTTCGTTTCTGATCTTCAGGTGGCTGGCCAGTCCGTTTAAAGCGACGCATTCGGTGGAAGCCCCGAATAACCCTCTCTTATAGAACTTCCATTCGGCTTGCAATTCGACGCTATCGATAACATCTGTTCGTACCGTCTTGCGATGATGTTAGCAAGTTTTGCTCTCGCATCCACCGCAAATACGTTACCCATTTGATTCTCAGGCTGCTTCTGGTGCCAATTCTTCGTACGGCATTCCATCACTTACAACGGAGGATGCTAGCTACAACGCGATGATCGCTTCACAACTGTGCGCCTCTCTTAACTCAAACGGAAGGTTGTAAGCCAAACGATACGATTATCAAATCAATCATCGATATTTGTGTACAAGCCTCCTTCTATTATGTATACATATGGTATACATAGGCACGTTTTGATGCTAGAAGAGCATCTTCATAGCAGACAGTCCATTGTCTGCGCTGAAGCGCAAAAACTTGCTGCTATTGCTGAGATCTATATGGTCGATCCTTCAAAGCACGGCTTTCCATTTTGCAGTGCTTGATCAGACAGACGCATTACAAATAGCCCATCAAAATGATTGATTCGTAATCGGCACCTGGTAGAGAACATCAGCTGTTTCATCGAGAAGAAAATAGTATTCTAACTCTGAATTTAGTGCATAGATCTGTGGCAAGGTCCCAGTTTCAATCAATCATAACCTCGTTTGGAGGGATACTACTCTTCCGCTGAGCGGCGTACATTCAATTGCACTGGTGGCCAGGATGGATTCTGTGAGAACTCCAACACCGGTTTGAGGGTGAATCGTAGAGTCGATACCTGAACAGGATGACTCCCGACCGCCAAGGTCCCAAATTCCAAAACGCTTCTGCTTCGTTGACGAGTGCCACTGCATCCAGTCCGTGCCTTGCAGCCTCACTAACAAGCTTCAGTTGTTTCACTCTAAATCAGGAGATGTTCGAGGTTGCGATTGTGAGCTCTTACTGTCGCATCTTTCCGCTGACGTGCTATCGTGGCACCGCTCTATCCATCTTCCCCTTTCGGAACAAGTAGGGACTCAGTTGCTGCTATTTGTATCTTCGTCATTTTCATGAGCATCATGACAACCGTAGCGTGCTGCTATGCTCCAACTGCAAGCCAGCATGAGTCAGTTTCTGATGGCTGAATTTTGGCAGCGTGTCTGAGTTCCTCATGAGGCTGCGAGGCCGTTGGTTGGTTATCCAGGCTTTGACCGAGCTGGTGTAACGTCCGGCAGTGGTGACACCATGAGGAGGAGGTGGCTAAGTTTTGCAGGAACCTCGCTTCGGTTCTCAACTCTTCTTCATTCTCCTCTGGGCTTAGGACCTGCAACGGAGAAGAATGACAAAACATTAAATATTAAATAGTACTAATTTAATAAGTCATGGAGGTAAAGTTCGACTTGTCGCTGAATTCAACTGGATTGACCCTTCGTAGTAGATCTGGCTGAAACCTGGACAAGATATCTCTAAAATCGCCTGCGGTTGCTGCAGTTTTAAAATGACAGGCACTTCATTTCTTAATCAAGGCGACAATCACCATGATTCGGATGAATCGAAAGCTTGAAGAACCGAGAGGACGAGTGGTTCGTTTAAGAAAGCAACGGTACTCATCCAACGACAAAATTCGCGTCCATTGTTGCATCATCAAACGAGTCCATTGGCTGGTGAACATGCTCAGACGTTTACAAAAGGATATCAATTCCATTGCAGTGGACAGCACAAAAATATAGGCAAAAAAGTTAGCACCTGGTGGGATACTGGCAGAGCTGACGTTGAAGTCATTTGTTGTCTGGAAGTGATAGGGTACGAACGGTGGAAGGAAAAGACTGGCAGGCATGGTGGGTGATACAAAATGTGGAAGGCAGCGATCCGGGGCGTCATCTTCACCTTTTAAGCCAATAATGGTGACAGCCATAACAACAACAGTAAACCTTAAGTGTACTTGGCTTTGGTACATCGCCTCATAGCTTTTGAACCACCTCTGTTCTAGAGAAGTACGGTGCAGTCATGAACTGGCATAAGAATCAGATTCTCGTCAATGACAGTCCAGAAAATCAACAAATACATAATAAAATCTACTTTATTGATTGAGGACGTTGACTCAGAAGTCCCGCTAACAGGGCGTTTCCACTACCTAGGCAGTTTTTGGCAGTACAGCTATACGAAAGATATGTATGTATTTCTAGGTGCAATGAAAATAACTAAATGATAAGCTGCAATCCATATAGAACTAAAGACATCCAGCATAGACTTCATATTTGTATAAATACAAGTTATATGAATAGACGGAAACAAGCAGAATGCTGGACAGCTTGCAAACAACAGATTCTTGCAGAACAAACCCTTTAACAATTGCCCCGATGAAACACTTGTTAAATATGGCTTTTACCAAAATGTTAAATCGCGTCTGATACAGGTGCTCATACATATTCATGCCAACTTTGGAACGTCTTAACCATACAATAAAAAGTCTTTTAATAATCAAGAACGAGTGTACCGTGGGAATCTCTTAGTATATAACGTTTTCCCACAATGCAACTAATATTGACTGTTGCATCAGAAGTGAAATCTGGAGCTGGTGAGGAAAGAACTCCAAGAGTCTTTCTTTTTGCAGCCTCGTATGTCGACAGCTTTTGAGTTCGTGACAGAAATTCATGGACGTCGCAACGTTACAGACGGAAGTGCAC